CATTATAATCGCAGAAGATTTCACTGCAACGACAAATCGAAGAACAGAAAAATCAGGAAAAAATCGGCAGCCATACGATATATATATTCTTGATACAACTTCTATAAAAATGAATAACTGAAAACTGGTGGAAAACCCTCAAAGGAAAGTTTCAGCAAGCCTTCGCATGCAATATGTTATTTTGACGCATCACATTGGAAATATCCTATTTGCATGCGTCGGATATATTCACCACTCGACAGCTGAATAGACATTTATAAAACGATTTCGAAAGAATTTCATCGGTGATTGGAAGGGAGTAAAAGTGTTGAAGTATCTGATTAATAGTAAGATGTCAATGCCCTAGCTGAATTTCAATCTGAATTTAAACAACGATGATTCAAAATATTGCTGTTGTTATTTGGATTTGATGTTATTTGCATAACCTTATTATTCAGAGCCTTCATGAAACAGAAGTTATGCAAAAACAAATCCAGCGATAATGCTAAATCAATGGCGCAGACGTGCGCAAACAGAACTTAGCAAATATTTGTACTGAAGTTATTTTAGAAATGGAACCAAGCAGACGATTCACATTGGACGTTGTACTAAAAACAATTTTTAGCCATTCAAATAAGCTTCAGTACCGTCAAAAATCCGAAAAGAAGTGCTTATAAGAGACCGGAACGCCCCAAGAATCAGTTAGCTATTCCGCTTCTTCGACAATCGAGCCACCCGTGACCGGTTCGCTTCCTTGACGGTCGAGAAGAACCGCATCAGACATGAAATTATTTTCTGTCAGTGTTGCGTTTATCTTTAAAACCAATCGAGTTTATTCCGTTATAAATTCCGATCCAACCCGTTCGTATTCTTCAGCTTCGAAAGAGCTCACGTTCAAAAATAAATCTCTTCCAGGCTGAAATCGTTCAATTCTAAGGCAAAAAATGCACGCCATGACGATCGTTCCACTTCTCCTTGTGGCCGCGGCTGTATATGTGGCATCCGATGATGGTGAGTTGTATGGTGAATCCATCGTGATCGTTTGATTTAGTTCCACGATGCTCGCCATTTTCTCAGGGCTATAGCATGACTTCTTTAGGGTTAGAGCATCGTTCCATGCAAGAACAATACCAAATATTGTTCCAATTGGAAGAACGCAAGCATTTATTGGTTGTCATCGAAAAGGAACCGCTGAACATACACGAGATTAGGAAGATATTGCTCGCTCAAAAACTATTGTAGACTAGATAAATTGATTTTCCGCTGATAGCATATCATGCCAAGAGCGTATCAGAATGACCTGAACACTAAGTGCATGAAATTAATTGGACAGCAGAACCAATGCCGTCATTGCTCGGCGACGCATTTCTAATCACTTAACAAAGTTTGTTTGAAGAATGCAAGGACACTGCTAAAAGTTGTCGTACTGTCAAGAAGAATGGTAAATGTGAATTGGAAGCAGCGAAACGAGTTTGTAGATCCACGTGTGGTCATTGTGACAGTAAGTTTTAATGATACGTTAGATCTATATTAATAACCATTTGTTGCATTCTTTTTTAAATGAAACCATATGTGAATGGACTGTGTCCAATGTTCATGACAAACACTGAAAACATGGATGTTCCAGTTAACAGTATGATATAGCGATTACTCAAAATAAAGAATAAGCCTCAACAATGAGTAAGAATCATTTGTTAGTTGACGATTGAAATATTTGTTTAAATAATTTAGAACTTTTTAGTAAAACCAATCGAATGGCTTAAGATCAGGCATTGATCTCATTCATATTAGTCAGTCTGTCATTTATCATTTATTTCAGCGCCAGCTCCGGAACCAAAGGCAGATACCGAAGGTATGAGTGACGTAACTTATCTGTGAAATAACCTTTCATAAGGCTCAATGAAATTCTTGAGCATTATGATCATTTGCATAAAATTGAGAACAATCTCATAATATACTTAAATCTAATTGGAGAGAGACGGCAGCCGTTCTTACATGTAAAATGCTGCGAAAACTCAAAACTGTTTGTCCTGTGTAGGGTGCAATCATTGTTGGATGGGTGAGCTGTTGAATTCAGATTGCGCCGATACCTGGGCAGATTGTGAAATGGATTTGTACGTTTGTGGCAGCCAGAAATCGGCGTTGAGCTCATGCAAAAAGACCTGCGAAACTTGCGATTCGAAATAGTAACGGTAAGTAATGAGGTATCACATTACCATGCGCCATCAATTAAGTATGGTACCCACTCTACGTGAGTAAAGCCAACGCAGACAATCGTGCACGTGCAGTTGCGATAAACTCGAAATGTGCAACTCAGTGTAATATCGGTTTCACTTTTATAATTTCGCATTTCGATATTAACTCCACGTAATTTTTTCTACGTACTTATGCGATCATTACTGTTCAACTGATCAACTTTTCAATTGTTGGGACTAATTTGCGATGAAATTCTGCATTATTGAACCTTAACGCTACTGACCATTTCAGATGAGAAGACCAATCATTCGGTCAGTGGACCGTCGCTACCGTATTGCAGTCGTAACGATGGTTGACGATTCAACAACTTCTTTCTTTTTTTACCAAAAACCTATCAGTTTTGCATGGTTTTGAATCCATAAGATCCTCGTATTATAACTGTACCCAACTTTTTCTTTCACTGGGTGCAGTCCTTTTGAAATGATACGGTAAGTTCTATTGTTCACTAATTTGTCACCCTTATGTATTAAGCAATGGTTCGTGTTAGAAATAAATAAATAATATGTAGAATCCGATGTTGTTCCGTAGTTATATTCATTTAATTCACTGTACTGTTAGGTTGGCAGAAGATATGCAACAATGAAAGCTGCATTTTCCGTTGGAGTTTCCGAAATTGCAATTGAAACGAACACTAGCAAAAACCATCGTTCAATTCTTTTGCAAAATGATCCATCGTTTCATAGCAAATACGACGTGAAATTGCCTGGATTGGCCAGGCTATCAAATGTCTGTAGCGTTGCTGGTCACAATGCTCGGTTTCAGCTCGCACTGTTTTAGCCTTGACTGATGGCATACCACTGGCTAGGTAAGCAAGCCAACGACATGAAATAAGGACCATAAAAATACAGTACTATGTAATGCCCACTAAAACGGTCGCAGATGAAATGAGTAATGTTTTCAGGAAAATTTTCATTGATTTATCAGACAAATTTCCTTTACGTAACTTTTGCTTAATTGCGTCGAAGAATATTGAAATTTGGTGCTTCCGATGGCAAATTCTCAGCTCACGTTTAATCCTACCGTCTTCTTAGGTTTTCCGGGTAACATATTGATGTTTATACATCATTCGATTGAACAGAATCTCTGCTTCCAAAAGTGGAAATTTCGCCGAGAAATTCTGCCCCTACGAGGAGATATAGCTGTTTTCCTGACGCTATAGAGGTTACCACACTCAAGCCTACCGTACTCTCAGCTTTGACCAGTAACATATCAATTTCTTCACACCAGTCGATCGAGCAGAATCTCTGAATTAAGAAAAAAATATATTTTGCTAGGCGATTTTGCTTATTTGAGGAGATATAGCTATTTTATTAAAGCTATCTCAACTAGCGGAATGGTGCTCATTGATATGCATTTGGTCACATACTAAAAACTCAGTTTTTTGACTCAGTCCTAATCCTGATCGTGCATGTTCAGTCCTGTTCTGAAAGCACCTGTAGTATCACAATCAAGAGTCCAAATGCCAACCTACAAGCAAAATTTCATCTTCACCAAACATCAGCTCTGCCCATTATTGCCAAGCCTCTATCTCCACTTCAACCTGTAACTATTCTGCGATCTTTGTCATGATAATCAGAGATGTCTATTTCCGTTTCTATGCCAGTTTGCGGTCAACAGTGCATCGGTGGTCATCTTCACGTAAAAATTGTTTATCGTTTAATTGTAACATGTCTACGCTTTGCAAGAAAATCTAGCAAATCTATCATTAACATAATCAATCCACTCCAAATGCAAATATTGTAAAACAATCGCACAATGATTATAGATGGTGTGATAATCGCAGTGATTCTTCGTTATAGGAAATGACCTTGTAGTTGGACTCTGCTGAATGGCAAACGAATATGATCATGGGATGCAACATGAAGGCAATGAAACATGCGAGCAATCTTGTATGCATACGAAAGATGTTCATAGGATGTGGTGAGCAATGTTCCTTCTCGTTTAGTCATCAGCACCTTTGTTTTTGAATAGGAATGTCTCATCTCAAGTGTTTTGTGGACTGCATGCATGAATCATTCAAAAATATCAGTTCAACAATCATGTCATCTGTTACTGTTGGCAAGGTGTCTTGTCTTGTGCAAGCGATAAGTTCCTGTCATGAGAATATCTGATTCGTTTGTTGAACTGGTTTCCCTTCCATGTTGTTTGAGCCATTCCGTTACTGAAGAAGTTTCCTTATATTCATTGCAAAAAAATGTGCTCTAACTAAGCAACACGTTCAACTGCGAATGTGGATGAAATGCCATTTTGTTTTTACCAACCTANGACGAAATGCCATTTTGTTTTTACCAACCTAAAATACAAAATTACCCGAAGAAGTATCTCAAGGATCAAATCAAAACTAATCGCAAGCATTATTCCATGAGGAAAACGAAAAAACCGTTCGAAAATAGCTGCTTGTGTAGAACTTTTGAATCTGTCTTCTAAAAAAAATTCCAAATGTTCTATAATTGCAAGCACTATAAAACATATGCCTGGAATTATACACGCCTCCCTGTGAACTAAATTTTGTTGGTATTTCAAAGAGTTGTTCCAGTTGGTTTTTTACTCTGTGTATTGTTCGAAATTAATTGAATCTTGAACGTTTTGGCAAATATAATAGGGTAAATAATGTCTAAACTCTATCGCCCGCTATTGTTTATGTTATTGAAAATTATATTGTTCTGTTCGTTCCGTTTTTTCGCCAGCCATCATATGATTGACATGTTGTTCTTTATTACTTCGAATTCCTCCACTTTTACTTACGAATACTCTCTTAACACTGAAACCGGTTTCGATTTCCAGGTTTTTTTTGACTTCTTATTATAACTTTGTTTCCTTACTTTGATTCCGCCATAAACTTCGGCTGACTCATTTACTCAATGTTTTCATCTGCACAACACCACAAAACAAACTCGTTTCATTTGAAAAATTTCCCTCTGTGTTGTTCTCCAATTTTCTCGTTCATTCTTCACCATCTCTGAGTGTTTAAACATTCATTTATCAGCAGCTGTAAATAATGTCTACATTCACCATTCATCAACCATATGCAATGAACGCAGAGCAACTGCCCTTGTGCAAAACAATCGTTGGGTTCTCTTTACAGTGGCTACGTTCATCATTACACAGCGATTACTCTCCACTCAAATCAACGTTGTTTCCTCATGTTTGAGTCTCTTTACTGATTCAGTTTTATTTTTCAAATCTTATCGCACCTTATTTCGATGTTGTAACTTATCATTTTTAAGACTATTCTTCTCTTATCACATAACCTATATCAGTACTTTTATCTTTGTCTCGAATATAGTTCACCAATATACTCCCGAGTAAAGCACCAATAAGATGTGCTCAACACGTCTGCGGCAAAAAATTTTGGTTTATAATTAACTTGTTTTTGATTAGTCATCTTCCAGCGGAAGGTCTAGTCACTTCTAGTGAAGCACAGCATCCATTCAATCCATAAATTTTCATAGCATGTTTCCTATGTGTTGTCATTGCTCTGTGTTATCGACATTTTCGGAGGTATTATGACTGCTGACTGACTCGACTGAATTGCACTTCATTCCT